TTGACCCTGCTCTTTCCCTCGTCCTTCCACCAGAAACCCACTTGACCTTGCCTCCAAAATGGTCTTCATCCCCGCCGCCACCTTCCTGGACCAGGTCACAGTGGGTGACCTGGGACAAGTTACCCCTCTGTTTGGCCCCTGTGTTTTCTCTCTTGTTCCACACTGAAGCCAGATAGCCTTCAAAAAGAATCTTTAGAAATTTTTAATGTTGGAAAAATTTTTAACATAAGTAGAGAGGACGGTATGATGCACTTCCATTTACCCATCGCCCAGCTTCAACGATGATCAACTCCTGGCCACTCTTGTGTCACTGCCATCCACAGCCCTCTCTCAGGTTATTCTGAAGCAAACTGCAGACATCGTATGACCAAATCTCTTGAAAACATAAATCAGATCCTGCCCCTTCCCTCCTCACACATCTGGTGGCGCTACTCTAGATAAAAGCCGGGCTCTGTAGCCCAGGGACGAGCCTGGGGACCCAGCCCTGCTCCAGGTATGTGGGGCTCCTGTCTGAGCTACAACACCCCATGCTCTGTCTGAGCTTCTGCACGTGCTGGTTCCTCTGCCTGAAACACTCGTTTCTCCTCCACCCCTGCCCTGGTCAGCGGGTTCCTGCTTTTCCTGCAGGTCTACCCTTAAATTGTATTTCTCAGAGATGCCTTCTCTGCCTCCTTGATTTTGCCTCATCCTCCTTGCTCTGTTCCTAGGCCAAGTCACAGTCTGAAATGGTCCTCACTGGCCACGTACTGTTTGCATCCCTCCCCAGATGTAAGCCCCTTGGGGGGACCCCTGTCTGTCTTGCGCTCCTTCCTGTCCCCGACGCCAGAGCAGGGCACAGCATGGTGAGATGCTTCTGGAAAAAGGCCGGGGACATGTTTTGTGGTTCTTGAATGGGCGTGGCATCATGTTGCCTCATGAAAACGTGTGCCACTCCCTGCTGCTCCCCTGGTGGGGATGTCAGGTAGCTACCTTAGACTTGAAGATATTGGGGCTTTGCTGTTGTTTTATCATCCAGGGGTTTTGTGTTATTGTTTTGTGAATTAAATAGCGCCTCGGTGTTATTTTTCCTTGGCATGGGGACACCCATTGTAAGGCGAAGAGTCAGAACTCAGAATCAGCTATTTGTTGAGAATTGGCTCTGCAGCTCAAGGCCTGGAGGGAGATTAAGAGGGGCGACGTGCCTCTGGCCTTCAGGAGCCACTGGTGCAGTTGGGGAAACTCCTCCCCAATTAATAATAGCAGCCTTCTGTTATCCGAGGAGCGTCCCAAGGCAGTAACTTTGTGCTTTGGAGTGGGGTAGACACCATGTGTACAAGGAGAAGGGGGAAAGCTGTAGGTCAAGGGCTCGGGCCAGGCTTCACCGAGCTTCCGGGATTTGGACGGGGGCAAGGACACAGGGAGTCCCCCGCTTCAGGAGCTTCCTGCTCTGTGTTGCTGCTGGAAGTCTATGTCTCCCCTCCGTGGAGTCAGGCTGGTTTGGGGGTGGGGAGGCCCTGGTTCTAGAATCTGGAAGTCTGAAGTTTAGGCCTCCTGCTGCCCCAAGTTGCTGGATGATTCTGAGCCTGAGGTCTTCCCCCTGGAGTGGCCGCTGTAAGATAAGGAGATAACCGGGATACTCCGTGTGTGTGGGGGGGGGAGGGGGCGGGGCTTGGGTTCTAAAGTTGGCACGTGAAACAGAAATTACATCCTCCCAGGTCGTCCATCTCACCTAAAATCTAGGCTTCGGGGGCTCTCCCCCCGCCCCAAGCTCCTATGGGTTCTCTTGTGCCCCCATGGACCAGGAGGCTGGGAGTTCTGAAAGTGAGAGTAAAGAAGGGTCCTTTTGTAGGGGCTACTAGATGAAGTTGCCCATGAAATTGTGAAGCTGGAGGCTTTTCTTGCCCTTGGGGCCACAGGTAGGTATTTGTGATCAGGCTCTGTGTAGTCTGGGTCCCGGGCAGGGTCGCTGTGCCTGTCATCAGAGGAGAGGAGCAAGGTGACACGGCCCCTGCCAGGCTGGGGTTGAGGCACCATCTTCAGCCTGTAATTTTCTGGAGAATGAGCAGGGCTGTATTTTAGCACTGGGGCATGCTGCCCTCTTGCGGGGAGAGAGAGAAGAGGCATTTGTTCCTTTAGGAAAATTCACAAGAATAAGATCATGGGCCAGAGGACATAAAGGTCTCTATAGCTCTTGATGAATTGCACGAGTATTTCTGGGATGATACTGTGAGTCTACACCGTCACCATTACCCTTGCCCGTGTCGGGCGTATTCTTGGTTTTCACACAATATGCTACGGTGCTAAGCCCTGCCTCTCCTGAGCTGCCGCTCAGATTTGCTCTTACCTCATCTCTCCTTGGTGATGACGGGATGTGCAGGAGGATGCAGACAGAGGACCCTGGCTTCTCCCTATGGAGAACTTGGTGTCCAGACCCCCCTGGATGCCCTGGGCCTTCAGCCTCCTGCTGCCCTCGCAGATCTCTTAGGGGAAATCCAAATGCCAGTCTGGATGCCCTGAGAATGTCGGGCTTTGTTAGTGTGTGAAGCGGGTGTTGTAAAGCAGGGACAAAAGTGCTCTTGTGCTTTCGGGAGGCCAGGCGTCCTCGGCAGGGCCTGGGGAGTGGGCAGTGCTGGGGCCGGGTTTGGGGCAGGCGGTGGGAGGCCTAGTCCAGCCTCCACTAAGGAGGCCTGGCCGGGAGAATCCTGACGGTATGGGTATATTTGAAAACCTCCCATTCAGTTGGTTCTTTGACCTTTAAGACAGGCCTGGGGGCCAGGAATCCTGGGGTCATTTACGGGGGCTTCCTGTGTGCAGGATTCTGTGCCTAAAATGAGAAACAGCCCTAGGCTTCCCGATGGGGCGGGGGGAGTAGGCTTTGGCTCCTGCCCCGGAGCTGCAAGGGGAAGGGCCACCTGGGGGTGACAGAAGGGATCCGGGTGCCCATTGTTGCCCCTTCCAGGGGCCGGCTTGCGCAGGGTTGCTGCAGTCTGTGCTCTGCCCTTAAACACACCCAGCGGGGACACAGTGAGGGGCGGGCAGCAGGCCCACCCCTCCCTGCCTCCCCAGACCTCCTCTCTTTCCTTCACCTGCTGTCCTGCCTTGTGCACAGAAGATGACGTGCCTCTCTCTCTCTTTTTCTCTCTTCCTCCGGCTTCCTGTCCCTGTGCCCCTCTCTCCTGTCCCCACCTCGCCACCCGCCCCGGGTGGACCAGACCCAGACGCAGCTGGAGCACGCACGCATTGGCGAGCTGGAGAAAAACCTGCTACTGGAGAAGGCGCAGGCCGAGCGGCTGCTCCGAGAATTAGCCGACAACAGGGTAACCCCCGCCACCTCCTGCCACCAGCGCCTTCGCCTGCTGACGCCCCCTTCAGCTTCCCTGTTTTTATTATTTTCTCTCTCTCTGGCCGCTCTCCTCACTTTTTTTTTTTTTTTTTTTTCCTTTTGCGCCCCTTCTAGGGAGGTTTAGGAACGTGCTTTTATGCTCCGTGGCCATGTGATGCTTGTTGAGAGGAGGGGGTCTTGGTTCTCTGGGACTTTGCTCCCCAGCTCGTGGACCCACTGGCTGGGAGTGTTCTGTGCGAGCCTCCTCCCGCCCCCCCACCATTGCATTGCCATGACTGTGCAATTGTCATGTTCAGAAATCGGGGGCTCTTGGGAACATTCTGCCCCTTCTGTGGCCAACCTATCCACGCCTCCCTTCTCCCCAGGCTGGGGAAGGCAGAGGTTGGGAGACTGTGGATCCAGGTTTCTTTAGCCTGGAGGGTCTTAAATAGAATGGCATGAGGGGCCAACCTGAAGGACCTGGGGCAGTGGTGGGCCTTGAGGGAGTGGGGTGTTCCCAGGGCATGAGACTCTGTGTCAGCCCCAGGGTGTGAGTGGTTCCTGGGCCAGGGAAAGCTCCGCGTGGGAGTGAAGTCCCCCCTGATTCCCAGGGCATGGTTCTGAGTCCAGTCTCCAGACCCTGCTAGCCCCTCCACGCCCATCATGCATGCCCCAGGGGCTGGGCCCCCATGCAGGCACACATCCAAACAGCTGGTCAGCCCAGCGGACAGCCCAGCTGCAGTTCCCCCGGCCATAGAGTTAAGCAGCCACAGAGCAGAGATTGGGGAAAACCACCGAACACAGGCTGTGGGTGTAGGGTGGGTGACCATTGGTTTCCACAGGTCAGCCTCAGTACACGGGTGAGCACGTGTGTGCCCATGAGCGTCTGGAGACACACACGGGTCCCTGTCCACACACTGGCCATTGCCAGGTGACTGTGTGTGCAGTACATATGCATGTACACGGAGTCTGCTTGAAGAAACCGACCCAGTCACGGTTGACAGGCTGGAGCCCTCCACACCAAGGCATCTTCCTCTAGGGTTCAACTTGATTAGAAAAACAAAAGCAGGTTTATTGAACTAAAGGTCACCTTCAGAAACAAATTTCTTAAGCTTGTAAAAGATTTAAAACTTTCAAATATATTGCACCCAAATCAAATCTGTGATCACTGACACGGTCAAAGTAGGTTTCTGGCGGATGGAGCCTCTGATCTCAGAGTTTTCCATCAGAAGGAGGGTCTGGGAGCATTCTTTTTTTTTTTTTTCTTCTGCGTTAAACATTAAGCCGGACCCTTCTTTGGCCACCCCCTCCAAAAGGCCTCTCTGTGAATCAACTCATTCCGGCTGGAACTTTTCTAGAGCAGGATAGTGCGGAATTCCCTGTTGTGTCTGCCCTTTAAAAATAACATGAGCTTGAAGAAAGCCATAACCTCAAATAGAGGGTTTCCTTTCGCCACCGATTTCTCCCAAACCGCCTAGAGCAGCGGGGACCAGGGAGTCCCCGAGTCACTGGGACACAAGCCAGGGGAAGCCTCCCCGGGAGCTGCGGTGGGCAGGGCGGCACTCAGGTGGAGTGGGGCATCCTTCCCTTCTCACGGCCTTCCCCCGTGCCCTCCAGCCGGCCCGCTGACCCCGGTCTCCCTCTCTCCCGGTAGCTGACCACGGTGGCCGAGAAGTCGCGGGTGCTGCAGCTGGAGGAGGAGCTGAGCCTGCGGCGCGGGGAGATCCAGGAGCTGCAGCAGTGCCTGCTACACTCCGGCCCGCCCCCCGCCGATCACCCCGAGGCCGCCGAGACCCTGCGGCTGCGGGAGCGGCTGCTGTCCGCCAGCCAGGAGCACCAGAGGGAGAGCGGCATGTTGAGGGACAAGTACGAGAAGGCGCTGAGGGCCTACCAGGCGGAGGTGGAGAAGCTGCGGGCGGCCAACGAGAAGTACGCACAGGAGGTGGTGGACCTCAAGGCCAAGGTCCAGCAGGCCACCAGCGAGAACATGGGGCTCATGGACAACTGGAAGTCCAAGCTGGACTCGCTGGCCTTGGACCACCAGAAGTCCCTGGAGGACCTCAAGGCCACCCTGAACTCGAGCCCGGGTGCCCAGCAGAAGGAGATCGGGGAGCTGAAGGCTGTGATGGAGGGCATCAAGATGGAGCACCAGCTGGAGCTGGGCAACTTGCGGGCCAAGCACGACATTGAGACGGCCATGCACGTGAAGGAGAAAGAGGGCCTGCGGCAGAAGCTGCAAGAGGCCCAGGAGGAGCTGGCCGGGCTGCAACAGCACTGGCGGGCCCAGCTGGAGGTGCAGGCCAGCCAGCACCGGCTGGAGCTGCAGGAGGCCCAGGACCGGTGCCGCGACGCCGAGCTGCGGGGGCGCGAGCTGGAGAAGCTGGACGTGGAGTACCGGGGCCAGGCGCAGGCCATTGCGTTCCTCAAGGAGCAGATCTCCCTGGCCGAGAAGAAGATGCTAGACTATGAGCTGCTGCAGCGCTCAGAGGCCCAGAGCAAGCAGGAGGCCGAGAGGCTGCGGGAGAAGCTTCTGGTCACTGAAAACAGACTCCAGGCTGTCGAGTCCCTGTGTTCGGCCCAGCACACCAACGTAGGCGGCCACCCCTCCTGCCTGGCTGTGCAGGGACCACGGACGGCAGCGGTCCAGGCTCTAGGGCCTGGCTGGGGAGGGTCTAGGTGTCTACTGACCTTTTATTTCCAGTCCAGGGAAGCGTCCTCGTTGCCCCCAGGAGCACGCCGTGCGAGATCGGAGGGCACCTGGCTCAGAGGAGGAGGCCCTTCCGTTAGAAGGGCAGCAGGCCCGGGTGACTGTGGGGCCCCAAGGCGGTCTGAGCTGACCTGGCTGGGTCCCCACAGGCCAGGCCTGGAGAGATGTGTCTCTGGGCACAGGGAACAGCCTTCTTCCCAGTCCCCAGACACGTCCTCCTGAGCAGGCTCCTGGGCCTCCCCAAAGCACCAGTACCAGATGCTCTGGCACTGGGCTGGCAGAGATGTGGAGGGCAAACCCTGCCCATCTCCAAGGCGAGCACCGACCTAGGGGACCCGAGGGTGGCCCCCTACCTGCTGGTCCTGATGAGACTGAGCAAACAGTTCAGCAGCCACTTTCCCAAGAGTGGGGTGGTCCCTGGGGCGGGACCCTGGAGAGGCTGCTGCCATTGGAATCAGCTTTGCTCCAAATCTAGAAGTCCCAGCTGAGCATGCTAGGGAGGCCAAGACCCCGGGTAGCCTGGGCGTGTGCTCCAGCGGGGGCAGGAAGGGCCTTATGAGTGGCTCTGGGCACCACACCGGGTGCAGGCCCTGTGATGCCCTGTCTCACCTGGACTCCTTCAAGGTCCATCCATATAGGCTTTGTTTCATAGATGAGCAAACTGAGATTCTGAGGCAGAGTACCTTTCCCAGGTTTTCTTGTCCATCAGTGGCAGAGCTTGTGTCCAGCCCCACTGCCTAAGGGCCAGCAGAGGGTGCCCGGGTTGACAAAGTCAAATCTTACACGATAGGACAGCTAGCAGCAAGATTGTTGCCTTTTTATTAGCCATGGGGATTCCTGAGCTTCTGGTTCCCTTTGTACACTTAAACCAGAATTTAACAATTGAGCCACAAGTATTCAGGAGTTCCACGTACAGGGGATGGCTTTTTTGTAAAAGGAGCTCTGCCCGTGTCACACCTTGAGGTCCCACTGCACCGGCCTTTCTGCCCCCTTCTCCCAGGGAGGGACCAGCAAGTGCTCTCCTAGGATGCTGGGCAGAGAGAAAAGGAAGATCCTCAGGTTAGCTGTGTACACATGACCTGATTGGCTGCTCAGGCAAGGAGGGTCAGGCCTGGGACCCCAGGACCTGGACTCCTTAGCAGGGGAGGTTTGGGGCTGCTGTGGTTCCGCAGGATGGCCTGCTGCCCCTCAGTCACAGACCTCAAGCCAAGGAGTGTGTGGTGATCTCAGGAATGC